TACGGGTCAACAGGAAGGTGCGAAAAAAGAAAGGACCAAAAAGAAAGCTACGCAAGGGTAAAAACAAGGGTGAACGGGACAAGCTTCCCCTCATGAGTGATTCCATCACAAAACAAACTTAAAATACTCACAAATGTAAAACTATTCACACATGGGCTCCCCCACGAACTCATCTTTTACATAAATTGACTATTTCTACTCTAATTCCATTATGCCCCCCGCAGCTGCGTCAACTGACGGTGCGATTGACAAGGACGAAGGCAGCTCGGCCGTGGTCCAAATGATGCTCTCCTGTGACTCGGCCTCCGCTGCCTCTATAGGCTGGACGACGTCTTCCCGGCGCACATCTATAGCCACGGTCAACCGCCGAGCCTTCATCACCCACTACGTGGTGACCTGCTCTGTCTAGCCCAACCCCTTTGGTTCATGGCCCTAGCTGACGGGACGCGGCCTGCCTAATAAAACATCACCTACCCGACGGAACATGGCCTAGCCGGGGCCCACCACTACCGCAACCCGGGCATGGGAAACAAGGTGCAACAACACGCAAATGACCCTTCGCCTTCCCAGGCAGGGTTTGGAGGGACCCACCGATGGAATCTCCATCGAGGAGAGGGCAACTAGTCACCTGAGTCGATCAGACGGCTCGGGCAGCTGCCGACAGATAGGTAAGGAGCAGTGGGATGCCCCATGCGGGTTATGCCGACTCTATCACGAACGACGGACTTAGATCCCACATGGACATATCTAATAGGAGCTCCCGAACCCGTCACTAGAGCCTTTGAGGTTACTTTACCAACCTCGTTCTACTTTTCCAGCGCATGATCATTCATTCATCCATTCTCATGCATGCATCCATACATTCATCCATGCATTCATCCCATATATCCAAGCATTGCATATGCAATTCTTCCATCACAACGCTTCACGTCGCGTCACGAAGCAGTAGTTGTCTCATTCGATATGAGTGGCGACCGACTGGGGTTCGAAGGGCTCGAGGCTGCCTTGCATCAAATAGAGCTAGGGGAGAAAACGTAGCTAATCCCCAACGGCCTTCACACGATCCACTCAGAAGCAGACAGGGTCATCTCGACCCTCTCATTCGATCCTGACCTCAAGCCATACCAACAGAATCTCCATCGAGGGGAGGTCAGCGGGCCACCTGAGTCGGTCTCTGGAATGGCTCGGGCATCTGCTGGGAGGTGGGTTAAGGAGTAGTGGAATGCCACATGAGGGCTATGCCGACCCTGTTATGAACGACGGACCCGGATTCCACTCGAACATGCATGTTAGTAAGCTCACCGAGTGTGTCACTCGAGCCATCGAGGCAAGTGACGTTAGCTCAACCCCTCCAGTTGCGAAAACCGCGGACGGGGTGATGCACAAAAGTCGACCGACCCCTACTGAGCCCAACGAGGCTCGGGGGCTCGAGCCACCCGACCCTGACTCGAGAGTCCAGCCGACCGCATAGGTTGTGGTCAGAACGAACACGGGCGAACACCCTGACTGGAAGAGACACAAGAGTCCGCAACCCCAAAAAAGAGTACCAAGGTGCAAAGCCTCCGACCGACTCCCTAGTCGGCTGCAGGCTTGGGGGCTACACCCACTGGGTGCGCTCGCGCATGCCCAGTGGAAAATAGATTACCAGCAAGTCTCCTCCTCAGGGGCTGGGCGCCTATGTCTGCATGGCGTGCCTCCGCGGCCTTCGCTAGTCCCTTCCTCAGGGGCTGGGTGCCAATATCCCTTTGGGGCGCCTCCACAGCCTTTGCCAGTCCTCCCCATGGAGGCTGGGCGCCCGCATCCACTTTGCGCACCTCCACGGCCTTTGCCAGTCCTCCACATAGAGGTTGGGTCGCTAAATCCTACTCGGTTACCCTACGTGGTACAACAAACCAAGGGGGAAAACACCAAAGTTCCAATAACAGCCCCTTCATGACTTCACAGAAGTCCCAAAGGGGCTCGGGGGCTCCTATCGGGTTCATAAACCCGGTGTCCCCAATGGACCCGCTTCCCTACAAAACTCGGCCCAGCAGGCGACGCAACGACAGCACACGTCTGGGCCGGCCCAGATACACAATAAGAGGCCAAGACCACGATTCGGTCCCCGACTGGCATCTTCGCCTCGCCCAACCTCTGGGTCGCGGGCTTCGCCTCGCCCGACCTCTGGGTCACGGGCTCTGCCTCGCCCAATCTCTAGGTCACGGGCTCCGCCTTGCTCGACCTCTGGGGCAGGCCCCGCACTCACCCGACCTCTAGGTCGCGGGCTCCGCCTCATCGGACCCCTTTCTCCGACCAAGGATACGCTAGACCTCTGCTCGCTGCTCTTTCCCGACCGACACGGTCGGGGACGACTAGGAATGACTAACCAGGGACACCCGCTCTGTGTGGGCCTGAGGAGCAGGCGGAGCAGATAAGGTAAGGCGCTCAAGTCAAACACAATACCGAGGACCGTACCCTGCCATACCCTGCGCACCTGCAAGACGGTGCCTCCAGGTCACGACAGACAGACACCATACAACATTCCAGACGTGTCAGACCACAAACAGTATTGTGGGCGCCGACGTTTGTCGTACCAAGCGAACACGGTAGAGCCTGCGAGACACATCTAGGCATAAACAGTATTGTGGGCGCTGGCAGCCATCCCATACCCGATGGTGTGCGCAACATGACTAGGCAGCACATGTATACACTTTCTCTCTCTCTCTCTGACTTGTAAGGCCGTCCCTTTCAACTATAAAAGGGGATGCATTCTCTCCTGAAAAACGATGCTGGCTCTTTCTCTCTCGAAGATTCTCTCGACGACTCGAGAACACAATAGCTCAACAAGATTTAGAGACACACAGAGCATACGCTCCAATACTTAGCATACGTTAGAGCCCCCGTCACTCTCGGCCACTCGATTTAGAGTCCGACCGGGCCTCTAACACCCCACTTCTCATTCCTTACTTGTTTGTAACCCCACAACAAACTTTGAGCACCTGGGCTCAGGAATAAAGTCACCGACCGACCTCAACTGGACGTACGGCCCGTTGCCTGAACCAGTATAAATCCTGTGTTATTGAGTGCTAGGCCACATCCGATCATAATGCACGGCAAAACTACAAATATTTACTTGTTGCCCACTTTTCGCACCGACACCAATAAAAACGAGCATCTAAATTAGCTTCAGTCTGGCTTTACATTGCACTATTTTATAAATATTACATTGCATCGACTAATAGTGATTTTTCTCCATCCAATTGCAGGGCTGATTCTATATGCTCTAGCTTGCTGATGCTGGTTGTGAGGATAGATTGTAGTGCAGTTCTTCTGTTTATTTACCCTATGAGATGAATAATGTGTGCTTTGAATTAGTGTAATTTATCTTCTTTTATCCAATTTGTGTATCATACTATTGAAAGATTATTCATGGCACTGATTTTCAATTTTGCAATCGCATTTTTGGAATCTTCATTTCTTTCTATTTTTTGTGAATATTTTTTGCCTCACCGAGATTTGTATCCCGGTGGTTCTCAAACGGTGGCCGGTAATTTTTCCCCTAAGGGAATCCCGTCTCCTGAGGGGACAGGGATGGCAGGTGTAGCGGAGAATTCCCCCTAAGGGCTCAAACCCACGTGGTTTTGGGGACCCTGCATCCAATGGAGCCCGCGTGATGCGCGGGGGACGCGTGGCCCATGGGAGCGGCACCCCCTCCATTCCGTGTTGCCGTTTGGATACCCCTTGCGCTAAAAAAGGCCCGTGCCTTGTCAACCCATTCCCCTTCAATCCACGGGGGAATAAAAAATCATCTCCCGAATCGTGTTTCTATCTCTCGTCGTCTCTCATGCTCGTTTTGGTGACTCGCGACTCGCAAAGGATGGAGAGGCATGGCGGCTAGGGTTTGAGCGCCGCCACTTCCAGTCTCGTGCACCACTCATCCCCATCTCCCTCCGGCCCTGACTCCCTTTGTACTAGTAGCGCAGCGCACTCCATCCTCCCAGAAGAAACACTGGCGCCCCTCTGCTCACCGCCCCGACTCCCTTCGTACCAGCAACGCCGCTTCTCCATCCTCCAGGAAGCAGCGCCGCGCACTCCATCCGCTTGGAAGAAACACCGCTCCCCTCCCCTCACCATCCTCCAACCCTATCCGAGGTAAAAGCACAATCCTTGTATTGCGTATTCTTGTTTATGAGCTACTCATCTATTTTCCCCATTCAAATTAATGGGTCTGGTAGTGTTTTCTTTGCTTGCCTGATGTTCTTAGCCCTAGCGTGTATTTGTGAGTTTGAATCTGGTGTGTAGTCTGATTTGCGGTAGCCATAAGGCCCTTTTGGGACATGGGATTCCCCCTTTTTCCTTATGATGAAAATAAACTGTTGTGAAAAAAAAGATTTGGACGATGGAATCCCGGAAATACTACTATTAGTCGCCCATGCTTGCAAAATTAGTACTACTACCTGTGATCTAGTTCTAGTTCTCGGTTCAGAGATGCTTTATTTTTCAGGTAGAGAAATTAATACTGCTTCCTGTGATCACAATAAATTAATACCTCTGCCTGTGATCAAAAGAAATAGTTTCTGATTTAGTACTGCTACCTGAGATGGAGAAATTAGTACTGCTGAAATTAGTACTGCAACCTGTGATCTAGTTGTCTGATTTCTTATGCATTTAGCTGAAATATTTCTTGTGCATTTGTCTGATTTAGTTTTCTGAATATGATCTAGTTTAGTTCTTGCTGGTTGCACAGCTGGAGTCTAACTTGACCCGTCTGCTGTTCAGTTTGTGTTCCAGGTTGTAGCTGGTTATGTCAGCAAGCTTAATTTTTAAAATTATAAATACATAAGTATTAAGTGGGCCAATATTTCAGCTTGTTTCTATTTGCAACTTTTAGATAATGGGCTCTAGGAAGGAGAGAATTAGGAAATTCATATAGAATCTGATCATGTTGATCTGCCACAAGGAGATGATAATCATCAAAATGATGTGCAATCTGAGTTCTACAAGGCTATGTGGACTACAAGATGAAGCAAAACAAGACTTTTGTGGATGCACTGAATGAAACAAGTAAAGGTGACTATTCTATCAAGAAGTGTATGGATCTTCTGGAATCCATTGAAGAGCTCTCAGATGAAGAGAAGGCGCAAGCAACAAGCATCATGAAGTGTGAGGTGAACAGAGAAATTTTTATCAACTTCACAAACCCAAGAGTTCGCCTGTTGTGGATTAAGGGTGAGATTTCCCCTAAGGTAATTTTCTTGCTTCAGAATTTCTTTAAAAAGTTCAATGTTGGCTGGTTCTAGGGACGTAGGTGCTGTTAATTTTAGTTAGAGATCTATAATTCTAAACCTGTTGACTTTCTGTACATGTGTTGAGAAACTGTGAAAACTTGCATGTGTGTCGCATATATTAATTTTCTTTGATAGTGAACCAAAATTTTTCTTTGATAGTGTTGAGAAGCTGAGAAAGCTTTTCAGTTAGTGAACCAAATTTTGATTTGCATAAATCCAATATTTTTTCTGTCGATGAAACAATTTGTTCAGGTAGCTTTTACTACAACGATGACATCAGTGCATCCTGTGGGAACATGCTTTGTTCAGGTAGCCATATTCTGTAGATGAAACAATTTTTTATACACATAATAAATCCAAGAAACCAAAGGACTAAGGAGATTACAATTTAGTACTGTGACAATGTTTTTGTATTATGTGACCACTTTTTTTCAGAAATGTTATGTGACCATTTTTCTTCAGAAATGTTATGTGACTACTTTTCTTCAGATATGTTATGTGACCACTTTTCTTCAGAAATGTTATGTGACAAATTGTTTGTTGATGTAGGTTTGATGAACCCAAGAGTTCGTCTACGGTGGATCAAGGGTGATATTGCTCCAAAGGTAAGTTTACTGTTCTTGTGACTACCTACCTTGCTAGTACTACCCCTTGTGTGAGAATTTTACAGTACTATGAGAAGTACATGGCCTTGTAGAATCTATTTATGAAATCTGACCTTCTACCAGTGCCTAGTGCTGTAATTGACGGTTAGAGTTTCTGTGAGTTTTATAATGCCTTTGACTGAAACTGAAAATCCAAATGCCTAATTTTATACTTCTCTGTAAAGCAGGAAGCTTTTCATTAATTTGGTTGTACAAGCAATGTTTCTAATCTAGCGTGCATGTAGAAGAATGATGCTTTTGGCTATATGATAATAAAAGTTATCCTTTGCAAATCCTTGTTCTCGAGACATGAAACTTGCCAATAAAAACAAGCATCTGAATTAGCTTAAGTCTCGGTTTACATTGCACTATTTTATAAATTTTACATTGCATCTACTAAAAGTGATTTTTCTCCATCCAATTGCAGGGCTGATTCTATATGCTCTAGCTTGCTGATGCTGGTTGTGAGGGATAGATTGTAGTGTTGTTATGCCGAGACAGTTGTTAATTCTCTCTGGTTATGTAGCACCCGGTATTAAGAACAAAACCAGATACACACCATATGTGAGCCCAGGAAGTTAAATCTCACGTATAGCTACAAATAAGGGTAATATCAATAGACAATGCTCAATATATAACGTACTTAGTAAAGAGAATATAACCTTAGACTGCAAACAGCGGAAAGACAACTCCAATCTTCGGGTGAGACTCCAATTCCACATGGACAACTGACTGGTTGATCACAAGCCTAATTTCTCCAAACTCTAGCAACCTGGTACCCATCCAGGATTTTTTCAAAGATTTAAAAAGTAAAGCAAGCGTAAGTACATGTCGTACTCAACAAATATAACATGGGGTTCATGAGGCTCAAAAGGGTGACACTGGTTTACTGCGATTAGCTTTTAATTAGTCATGATTTTAGCAATAGGGTGGCAACAAAGTTAACATAAGCCCATAAACACATGATCAGGTAAACATGAATAATGAATAGCATAAACAGTAATCATTAGTGAGCATCTTCATCATCAGTATCATCAGTGTTCATCATCTATTCCGTAAATGTTCCAAGGCCACTCGTGACCGTGAGCACGACTGATATACCAGTTTTACACTGTGCAGAGGTTGTACACTTTTACTGTGAGTTGTGATTTACCCTTTCGCCCGAGGTATCTAATCTCTTTACCCACTTCTAAGGAAGGTCGGCAGGGTTCACTATGAAGCCTTTTAAAGGTTCGTCTAACAAGTTAGTGCCATTAGATTCACTCGACAAACAGATGTAGAGCCCCCCTTCCCGATGGCATAATGACCGTAGCCTATACACAAGGGGATAGAGGCCACACTATATCCGATTAGACAAGCCATTCTTACACCAATAAAGGTAACCACTAACAAGCTAGAAAATGTCCTCATACTGAGCTAAAGCTAGAGCCATGTAGCCCTCATAGTTGTACTGTAAGTCCCGGATGATCACTTACAGATAAGTCCTTAGGGAGAGGAATCTAGAGCACCATAAAAATAGCCCAATGCTCTAGCCCCCTGATTCCATATTGCTAAAAAAGCATCTTTTAGTGTTTATAGCATATATCATTAGTCACATTACAAGATCATGGTTCCAGTTGAGCACTAGCATCATACTAACCAATGCAATACTCCATAGGTGATAAGGAATCCAGGATATTAAATAGCTAAAAAAATTACTACGGTTGCCAAGGTAGACACATGCAGTATGAATTAAATGATATTAAGGTGAATAGAACAACAAGGAAGATCCCATGCTATACTTGCCTAAAAACACCAATCCTTCGGTAAGCTTTAATCTTCAACGTCCTTCTTCTTCTTGATCACCACATATATCTCACCGACTGGACGTCATCGTAGAACACCACACAAACATCCATACATATACATGCATAGCATACAATTACATCTACATTAGAACAATGCACCAATCATAAAAAAAATAAGTAAAAGAGTTTGAAACACGATTCTACGCATCGCTACGAACACGCTAATCGGAGCTACGGTTTGAAAGAAACGGCTACCGAAAGATCTACTCATAAGAGAAAATATAAAACTATAAGCTTCATCTGTTTTAACTATATAAAAGCTTATATAAATTGAATTAGGTCAAATTTAGATTTGAATTATAAAACTAAAGTAAAACAAATTATATTTTATTTATAAAATCCAGTTGCATAATTATTATTCAAGTTAGAGTTTAAACAATGAAATTCTAGAAATAGAGACATAATAAACATTGTTACTAACGCGTAGATCTCGTTGTAATGAATATAGCGCAACTTGAACAGGTCAAATTAGAGCTAAAACGTAGGAGATATGAATTAAACAAGATTTCCTTTAGTAAATTAATAGATTAAATATAACCTCGAATTTTAAAAGCTAAAAACATATTTAACAGTAGTATGAACATGTAGATTATGGAATTACGAACCTAATGCAAGTTGAACGGGTCAAATCGGAGTTAAAATGGAGAAACTACGCATAAAATAAGATCAGGGGCAAATCTGTAAATATTTGGAATCAATTTCGTATTAAAGATAATTAAAAACCGAATTTAAGATGCCTAATGGACCTGGCCTCATTTTTGGAAAAGCAGGGGCACGGTTAGAATTAGTTCTGAACTGAGGTGGACGGTGGGTTAATTTTGCAAAACTCTGGGGTCTCTTTTGCAAAAGTGCGGTGGCTGTCGGCGCTGACCCGGTCAGAGGATGATGTGGCGAAGTAGGATTGGACGGAGATGGTGCACCGGTGGTGGACCGGATCTGTGGACCTAGTCTACACTGTGCTCATGGGCCGGTTATGAAGCGGTATGCGGGTTCTAATCTGGGCGGTTCATCTAAGATCGGACGGCTGAGGACGGTTGGGGAGGTTTGGGTCATCGGCACAGTAACCTCAGCGGCGACAGACATGGCTGACGCTTGTCGGAGTTCACCAAAATGGCGATTCCGGCCTCGATTGATTCAACGAATAGCATGGGGAGACAGAGGAGGAAACGGTGAATCCGTCTATGGTATTGGTTGAAGCAGGGGATGGATGGTGACGGCGGTACACATGATTGGTGGCTCGGCTTCAACGGTGAGGTCGTGCGAGGTACTGAGAGCAAGAGGGAGAGAAAGGAAAGTACCAGAGGTTCCCTTACCGTCTGACGAAGCGGGGCAACGGCTCTCATACGTCGGCGAAGCGGCTCTGTGGCAGACCGACCAACAGTGGCGGCGGCTAGGGTTTTGTGGCGGCCCGAGAGAGCTCAGGCGTGCGACTGCTGCGTTTAGGGTTTGGGCAGGGGTTGCAGTGTGGCTTAGGGCGCTATTTATGGGGCTGGCGCGGCTTGGGGCGCACGCCAAGGCAAGGACGGGGCGAAGACGAACTGCTCGGTGGAGTCCGAGCCGGCTACATGAGGTAGAAGAAGAGCCTGACAAGGCGGGTCCATCGGTCAGTGAGAGCGGGTGCGGGCCAGGGCTATCAGCCAGAGAGGGGATGCGCGCGGGCGCTGCTGCCGCCGAGCTAGGCTGCGGCTGCGGCCTTCGGCTTGGGCCAAGAGAGTGAGGTGGGAGGAGAGAGCATTGGGCCGGCTCGGCCCACGTTGAGGAGTGAGGGGAAGGAGGAGAGAGTAGGGCGGGCTGGAGTAGGCCATGGGCCAGAAGGGGAGAGAGCTTGCTCTTCACTTTTTCCTAATATATTTTTTCCAAATAGGTTTTGAATTCATTTGAACCTTGAACCAAAACCAAATTCAAATATACTTTTCAATCCAAATAAAAATGAGCAATTTTGGTAAGTTTCAAAAAATAAACTTTTACAACTTTTTAAAGGCTTTTATTTTATAATTTTCTTTTCTTTTATTTCAAAGCCATTTTCAAATTTATTTCCAAAAGCCTTTGAATTCATTTTTTTATTTTTTTGTCAAAACCACACAATACAATAAATCCAATGCAGAGGCATGAATGCACCAACAATGTTTCTAAACCTTATGATGGATTTTTAATTTAATGGAAAATATTATTTTTCCTATATTTCATGAGCACAAAAATTCATAAATAAATCATTTTAACTCTATTTTCAAAGGAGCAAATTTTAGGGTGTTACCGGTTATGCAGTAAGATTACTGTGGACTCTTGTATGTTTTCTTGGGTTGCTTAACACACTCATCTAAAGCCAATGGTGATTACCAGCTGTGAGATGAACCTGTGGACTCTTGTGTAAGATCAAAGTTCATCTGTTTGCTTACCCTATGAGATGAATAATGTGTGCTTTGAATTAGTAAAGTAATTGATCTTCTTTTATCCAATTCGTGTATCATACTACTGAAAGATTATTCATGGTACTGATTTTCAATTTTGCAATCGCATTTTTGAAATCATCATTTTTTCTGATTTTTGTGAATATTTTTTTGCCTGGGCAGGGATTTGTATCCCTGTGTTCCCAAACGGTACCTGATAATTCCCCCAAGGGAATTCTGTCTCCTGGGGGTGGCAGGTGTAGGATAATTCCCCTTGGGGCTTAAACCCACGTGGTTTTGGGGACCCTGCATTAGTGCATCTCTTGGGCTTCTGATTCCCATCGACTCCAATGAACCATTTTCAGGCCATCCTCTATAGCCGCAATCCCTCCAGTCTAGCAGAACTCCTGATATTACTTGCTAGAGCCGGCCAATTCCGTCTGTAATTCTTCGGTTGCTCGGTGAGTGCTGCCGTGCCGGCCGGCCCGTTGTCCCAGCCACATGCTATGGCTTCGTGGACAAGTTCCATCCTCGCTGAATCACAGACCACGACCATCAGTCCCAGCAACGCCTGGAAGGGGTTGTGTCATTATCACGCAAACGTGGGTAGCGTGAAAGCATGTACGCACCACGTGCACCACGAACATCGCGCCAAGCTTCTCGAAGCATAGTATATTCTCGACTTGCTCCTGGCCTCTAGGGTCGGTTCACTATACATCCGTATGTAATCTAGGTTCCAGTGATAACCTCCAGAGAACCAGGCTCGCCAAGCTCATAGCAATAATCTCATCCTGGTTGATGAAGGTTATTATGTCCAAG